GAAATTTTACGCGAAATTCCCATTTGTTGGCTCAGTCTTTTCGGAGACGGACGTTAGACTCTAAGGTCCCACCGCCTCTTAAATAACCTAATAGTGTTGATAGAGGCGCTAAATCTATTCAATTCAACCACCCCCCCCAACTTGTAAACAGCAGCAGCATTTTCAGAAGATCGGCTAGGTTGTAGTCAGGCGTCATGAGTCGGGAACTTCAGAACCAACTTCTGGAAAGTTTGAGGCAAGAAAACAAAGGACTTCGGGAACTTCTTAGCGTCATCAGTCGGCAGTTTGAGGAGGTCAGTCATGCGCAGAAAGAGGGAAGACAGATTTTGGATAGTCTCGTAGGGGAGAAATATGTAGAGAGTTTGGGATTCATGACGTGCGAGCATTGGAGAGACATGCTGCCGGCCATTGCCTGCAAGGTGGACGGTATCAGAAGGTGTTTCCGAGACGGGGGTTCTGTCGAGTCTGATTTCCATTACATCGAGCCCTTCGGCTACTTCGTCAAAGCCCAAGTCTTGTTTCAAGGTGATTCCTTCAACCTGTTTGTCATCATGGATGTGGGAAAGTTTGACGATTTTCTGCCTTGGCCTGCTATGGTCGAATGTGTGATGAAAGGCGTACGGCCGGACGGGGAGGAGGTGGAGGTGGGGGTGAGATCGGGGGAATACAGCCGTCCTACTGAAGAAAAAGGCGCATCAGTCGTGGCGTGGAACATGACGGTCGGCAGACAGTTCCTGGAAGAGCATCAGCTCATCAAACACGACTCGGCGTGCTTCAAGTGGGTTCTCAACGTCATCAGTCGCAGGGGGAGCAGGAGGGTAGTGGCCGGCACGGGAGTGGCTTCTGGCGGCCAGTGCGCTCCTAACGCTTCCAGTGAAGCCGAGAACTACTTCCAAACCGAGGCTTGTACTTGTAAAAGTCCACGAGAGATCCCGACCGCTCCTCCACCCGAGACTCCCTGTAGAGGTTACACCCAAGTTGTCACTGGCGACCTTGGGAACGTGGCAGGCGACGTGACAGGTGGCGTGGTAGACAACGTGGAAGGCCACACAGCAGACAGTGTGGCAGGCGACGTGACAGGCGACACAGCAGGCAACGTGGTGGACGACACTGCAGGCAACATGTGTGCGAGAGACGACGCCACTGCAGCGGCCCCTGGCGAGAGCCTTGGCGACACTGAACACGTATCGGAGAGAGAGGAGAGCGAAGAAGAGGGCGGTGCTGGTCATGGTGGTAATGATAACGCTCCGAATACTGGGGTGGGGGACGGTGAAGTGTATGTGGGTGGCGATGGTACTGAGGTAGTGTTAGCGGGGACGGAGGACGGTGAAGTGTATGTGGGTGGCGATGGTACTGAGATACCGGTAGTGATGGCGGGGACGGAGGGAGGGGAGAGAACTGGACACCGGCAGCAGCGCAGAAAGTGGACAACCCTTTTCCGTTTCTTGTGTGTCATGTTGTTTTGTGTTTCAATGTGCCCGGGGTTTACTTTTGTGGCAACGGCCAGGGTGTGTTCCTACACCGCAGGCGTTTGCCGCCAAGTCTGGGACAGCCAGTTTATTCTGGGGACTACTTTCAATAACTCTAGCAAGGCTAATATGTGCCTGTGGGCTGATGAGTGGAAGTGTCTGCCTGAGGACGAAACAACTGGCTATGGAGAGCTATTGGCCTGGGTTCAAAATCCTCCGAGAGTTTGGAACACGGCGCTGTTGGCATGGCTTCAAAATTACCCCCTTCGTTTCTTCCTACCTCTCATGGCAAATGGAGTATCGGCTAATGGAGTAGATGGCTACGTGTTGGAGAATATGGGACTTATGTCCACTGAGACGTCGATGGCCGTACATGACTTTTTCTTACGCTTACAAAGGCGCGGCAAAGAGCTAGAGGAAGGGAAGAAGGGGCAGACTTCCTCAAGCCAGAGAAAGAGACACCGACAGCCGCAGAAGCAGCAC